GGAGCAGCTTTTCTCCCCCCGGAGAACGTGGGCGGCGGGACCCTGGCACATCTGGGCCTCCCGCCGCTCCCGTCCTCCGGGGCGAGAAAAGCCCCATTCGTAACTGCGGATCCGACATAAGTCGGATCCGCGTAACTCGGGGACTGCCTGTACTATCTTTAGGAATCTCAGAGCCTCCTATTGCAGAAGAGTGGAGTCTAGCTGCTTGTGCCTTTCATCTCCATTGAACTGTTTATATTGACATACTTTTTCAAGGCTATCTTCTTAAAGCAAAAGGGGTCAGACATTTTAAAAAGGCTGAGGTTTTCTTTCACCTAATCTGCAGTCAGTTTTGTTAACAAGGGACTTGCATAAGTCCCCTCCAGACTGCCATTAGAAAAGCAATTATTGTGCATACTATAGTAAGATTTCACATTAAATCTGCAATATCACAAGTGCTTAATCACTATTGTGGATTTAATTCTTACCCATTTTAATTTTTAAAATTAAAGCTATTGTGATATGTAGTAGTCTGGTATAAAAATCTTAAGCATTAAGTTTTTAATAACGCCCAGGTTGATGCCTCTTATGACCCTGTATGCCAGATTTTGTCAGATGAGATTTTATGGGAAATTATAATTGTCCAAATAATATTTTTATGAACATAAATGATGAAATAGTGTTAAACTGGTACTGCAGGAAACTTGGTACTTTGTGGTGTCCTATTATTTAGGTTGCGGTAGAGCTCTGGAGCCCTAGTCGTTGATCAGAACCCCATGGTACTAGGTCCTGTACAAATATAGAACAAAATATGTTCTCTAGTTAGCAAAGCACAGTGAAGCCTTTGTTTTAGATTAATTGGAAATACTTTGCCTTATAGCAGTATGTTTTAATTAAAAGTCAAACAAAATTGGATTGTCATCCAGGCTTCAGGATAATGAATCTGTCTGTCTAATATTTCTAAAGTCAATGAAGCTTTTGTTTATCTTTCAAGCCACAGACTCCAGCATGGTGGAAGGTGATTCCCAAATACAGATGGGAAGATTTATTTCATTTTTACAGGTAAAGAGTGCATCTTGGATTTGGAGCAGTTAGAATCTTTTTTTTCCCCCACTTGTCAAATTACAGTATCCTATTTACATCCCATTCAGCAACATTGAGAGTCACTTTTATATGCAGAGTGCAACTTCTTGCCTGTATAGGTGTCACAACCAACCTTTTTCATATAGAAAGCTGTTAGGTGCAGTTTGTTCACCTATTTTGTTTCCACGCTTGAAACTGTTTTAAGCACTGTAATCCCAGTGTGAAAAGGCCAAAAGATTTTCAGATTCAGTGCCCAAATAAACTAGTTTACCTAGACAACCTTCAACAGGAAAAAATGGAGTGGAACTCTTGTCATTTTGTGTTAAAGGTCTAGGAATATATTGCATGTTTCTCATGGTAAATTTTAGTTTGCCATTGAATAAAGCAAAAACTGGTGTACTGGCATGGATTAAACCATTTGCTTATTGATTTTCCTCCAGCTCATAGAATGAGGTAAGATTGAAACAAGTGATTTAAAATAAATTATTGATATCTCTCAAAAAAATTGTGGAAAATAACATGTCTTTTAGAAACAATTATGCTTACTACCATGGACACTTGAGTGAAAACAGATCTGAGTTTCTGAGGATTTCCTTTTTCTTGATGTTCATTTTACACTAGAAGTTTCTTTCTGGCTCGTATTAGCAAGTGATTGTGCAATAACAAACAAGGTCATGTTGTCATAAAAATGTACTTTAAAAAGTGTAATTACACTCTTCATTAAACAGAACTTTTACTGGCTTGTAAATACCATATATCAGAGTTTTTAATGGCCCTCTTATTAACCCTTTGGTAGACCAAATATTTATACTCCTGTATGTAAGATATAGGAATGTGGAGGTTTAACCTATTAACCAGTGAAGCTAGAGCAGAACCCCACCTGCTGCATGCAGGGGACTGCTCCAGTTCCATGGGGAGCATGCTGTGGACAGGAGCTGCTCCAGCACAGCTCATGCCTGTGGCAGGCCTGGGCACCCTGCTGGCAGGGGATACTCTGGTCCGGATGCTGGAGCAGCCTTTGCCTGCAGGATACCCTAGTAGCAGGGGAGAAGAGACTTTCCAGCCCAGAGATATGTGGAGGGAATTGCTCCAGCCTGGCTGACGCAGCCCTTGCTCGTTCCTCTTTAATTGATTACTGGTTAAACAATGTTTTATGTCCCTAGTAAGATCTCACCCCAAGACCATAGAGGGAAGGTTGAAGAATTTTCAAATAGCTATATCCAGTTTCTGCTATATAAGAATCTGTAAGACACTCTCCTTACTGACCCTTTCCTATTCCCTCTGCTGTGCTCCATTTCCTGTCCCCAAATGGGAATAGTCTGGTGACAGTGTCTACCATCTGGGAAAAATTGAGATAGTCAGTGGTGTGCAGAGCTGGCAAAGGGATCAGAAAATACTGTTTTTGTATAGCTGCTACATAAACATATTGGCCAATTTATTTTGGATTTAACAATTCTTGGTATCCAGAGATCGTTCTCAACAGATGAAACATACAGATATTTGCTTGAGTGATATTAAAGGGACAAATGATCAAACTAATTTAGAAATGCCTGCCAACATTTTACTACCCTATGCAGGGTGAAACCATATAATGTTTAATATACTTAAGATTTCAAAATCTGTCAGTTAATTGCAGCATAGCTGGTTGCTGAGAAATTAGATATGTGCTATAAAATTGAATTTTCTGAATTAAGAGTTGGGCTGTGTTAACTGGCTCTGGGCATGAAATTTAGGTTTTGTTTTTTTAAAAGCTAGAAACCTCAAAATCAAACACTAAAAGAATCTTTAATTGAAAATGAAGTTAAAATCCAAGCAACATTATTAAGCAAATGAAAAGCAGAAAGTGAAACTGACCAGGTTTTTTCATATCTAAGATGAGTGAAATGCAAAATGTAAACCAAATGTATATACGATGAGCCAGTTTTAGATCTTTTTTAAACTTTCATGTATTGATTAGTTTAAAGCCAGAAAGTACCAATAGGTAATCTGATCTGACGTGAATACCACAAGCCATTACGTTTCATCCACTTATCCAGTTATACACCTTCCAAAATGGCATCTAGTCTTGAATTGAAAACTATCCACCACTTCCTTCCCTTGATAGTTTGTTCTAGTTGTTAATTACCTGCACTTCGAAATTTTTTTGCCTCGATTCTAACTTGAATTTTTCTGGCATCAGCTTCCAGCCATTGGTTCTTGTTATACCTGTCTCCACTGGTTTAAAGAGCCCTTTGGTACCTGGTATTTTTTCCACATGAAGGTACTTAAGCACAGTAATCAAGTAACCTCTTAATCTTCAATTCATGAGCAAAACAGATTGAGCTGTTTAAGTCTCCCTGTAAAGTATTTTCTCCAGCCCTTGACTCACATTTGTGGCTCTTTTCTGCCCCCTCTTCAGTTTTTTATTAATCTTTTTATATGTGGACACAATATTCCAGTATTGCTCTTACTAATGCTGTTTTTAAAAAGGTACCAATCACTTCCTACCTATTTCTACTCACATTAACTCTTTGTCACCACATCATTTGCTTGTCCACTAGGGACCCCAGATCCTTTTCAAAACTCACCGCTTTCCAGGATACAGTCCTCATTTTATAGATAAGGTCTGCATTCCTTGTTCCCAGATGTATTTCTGTACTTTTGTCTGTATTGAAATGAAATCTATTTGAATTGGGCTAGTTTACAAAGTGATCCAGATTGCTGTGTATGACCGCCCTGACCTCATTATTTACCACCCCACCATTGATTCCAGTGTGTATCATCACTAGTGGAGACTTGCCAGATGACTTCATAATCCTACCCAATCTTGCAGTTGCATTTCAGATTTTCACTCTTGTTGTCCTTGAGTCCCCTGATGAATTCTCTGTCTTATCCACATTCAGTTTTAACATGTCAGGAACTCATGAAAATATTTTTTTTCTGTCTGTAAGTATTTGTCTATAGTCTGTCTGATTAGTGGCTTTAACTTGGCATGGCTTCAGAGAGAATAATGGTTGTTTAGGGCTAGAGTGAAAAGTGGTTTTCAAACTTTCAGCTGTGTAATCCTTAATGGTATAGTCTGCTGCATACCTCCATTTGAGTTAGACAAAGGCAGTGTGTGGGACAACTTGTGGAGTCATGTGTTCCCCCCAGATTTCTGCTTTCCATTTATCAACAGTGTTTAGAGGTTTTCAAACTGTAGGGTGTGCCTCCGAGGTGATCATGGAGGGACATTCAGGAGGACAAGCAGTGACACTAGGCAGCATGGGCCAGCCCCGCATAGCAGGAGTAAGAGAGGAAGTGCCACTCAACTCTGACTCACCTTAGTGGGCCACTCAGTCTGTTAAAATCAAAATTTGTAACTCAAATGAGGGCATCAGCAGAGTTAAAATCTTTGGTTGGCCAGGAAAAGAACACTTCCTCCAGTGTCACCACCCAGAGCTCCCTGCAGGCATGAAACTACAGTTAAAAATCCTCTGTACTAAATAAAATGCATTGTTCACTATTACAAAAAATCCTGTATACACCTAAAGGAGGGTAGGAGGAACTGTGTTTGAAAACCACTGTGCTAGAGCATGCTTTTGTCATGGAGTTCATATAAGGGGTGATGGAAGAGCTGTAGGAGGCTTTGTACCTCAGAAGCATAATGCCTTCTAGGACTTTCTGTTCGGGATAGGATGTACATTATTACATCCACTGTAAAGATGTATTATACTCCCCCAGGCAATCAGCCAGCTCTTGACCATTTCATGAATGAACTGGTGCAACCTTGTTTGCTGTCTGCACATTTATTCTGGGAGGAAGCATCAGCTCCCCTGAGTATCAGGATTACAATTCTAGCTCACCCTATTGTTGGCCACTTAATGAGAAGAGTCCTTACTCCCTCCTATGCCTCTGTGTAGCTTCATTAGCCCTAAATCGTAAAGAAACATGCATCAGGAAATGTCAGTTGAGAGAGGCCTCAGACAGGAATTAGAAAGTTAAAGTTTGGGTTCTGGTTGCATGATTGTCATTCACTGTCTTGGAAATAATACCAATGTATGCAACATTTGTCATTTCAGGAGCTGTCTTGTTTTGTTACACGGTGCTATGAAGTGGTGATGAATGTAGTTCATCAGCTGGCTGTTCTCTATACCAGCAACAAGTAATTATTGGCAGAAATGCTATATCCCCTTTTTATTATTAAACAAAATGTAAGATGTTATGATTTCCCTAAAGAATGATAAACATTGGAATACTCTGGTCAGAAAATACCGAGAGTGGTTTTTAATGTAGCCTTATGTGCCTCTATAATATACTTTTAAAAATTATTTTATTTATTAAAAGGATCATCGTCTGCTGTAAGTGCTTTTTCTGATGGGATGCAAGAATGTCTTTTAAACTAAAAGGCATATTTCAGCAGAGCTATCTCTTTCCAGAAGCAACAAATCTTGATGCTAATGTAGCTGGTCTTTATATCCTTATGTCTCTAATTATTGGACTTAGTCCCTGTTCTATTGGCAAGAGAAATGGGTGCCTTCTGTTAGCTGAGAGTTGTTATGGATGCCAGTCTAACATTTTGAAGAAATGGTAAAATCAAATAGCTTCAGAAGCTTTAAAGAATTGTTAGCTTATTTAATTTTAATATTACAGATGTGTGATCATACTGTCTACCTGAGCAATTGTGATCAGCTTTTTAATTTAACATTAGTATCTCAGGTATTATCATGAGTATGGCTTTATGATTTCATATGCCAGTTTGACAGTAATGATCTCTTGGTATTTTTGGGAGGCAGTTTCTTACATTAACGGGTCATGGGTATTTACTTATTTTGTCTTTGGTTTCATCTGTGGGATTTAGAGCTAATGTTTTCAGATGACAGTGCTATGATTGCTAATTAGTCATAGTTATTCATTTTTGTATTGTATTTTTGTGAATTTTAAGGTAGATCATTTGCAAATACTAAGCATGATTTTCAGAAGTGAAACTCCAATTGAAGTGACTAGAAGCTGTGGGTGCTTGACACCTCTGAAACTCAAGCCCATTTGTATAACTGGTCTCAGCACCATTTCTTTGCTAAAGTCATTTAATGGGAATCATATTCCGATTGAATTTTTGTGCATTTTTTTTTAATTTTAGGGACTGCAGTTTATAAAATGGCTAAACAAATAAGCATACAACACCATGTATTGAAGAGGGCATGCACCCTCCATTATATGTGCATAATTTCTATTATATTCCCATGGGAGTCTGTACTAACCCAGTGCACTGTTACTGTGGTGGTAGGGGCCACTGTACTACTGGAGCTGTTATTTTACAGCTGATTTGTAGGATAAAAAGGATTGGAGCAGTCATGGTTGTTGAAAGACCTCTTGATGGCTTAGAGTTAGGAATGTGAATGCTAGAGCTTTGGCCATATTCTAAATAGGTAAATTTCTTCTGCCTAAGTTTCCTCTGCTGTTTTAATTGGTTATGGCATTCTTCATTTTCTGCCTGTGACTGCTATTTAATAATATACTGCATCTTGACACAGCTGCTCTGTTTCAATGATGAATGAAGTGAAGCTGCATGTCTAGCTTACGTATCAGTTGTTTAAGTTTAGAAAGTATTTTAGGACCTTTGGGATGTAAGATACTATAAAAATGCTAATTGTTAATGTCATTAGGCTTGTTAATAGACATGCGCAACAGACTAGACCTACAATTTAGCAAACCAATGTTGCATTATAATTTGGAAAATGTTATCAGGCTGATATTGATACATTGTCAAAACCAATTTTAATAGGCATTTTTATTATGTAGAAAGATGCTTTTCATTACTGATAAATTACCATGATGATCTTGCGGTAAAATATGCAAAAAAAGCCCTTTAAGGGACTGATACCTCTAAGAACAATTAAAATGTGCAAAATAAATAAGTACCTAATAATGGAAAAATAAGATAACATTTTGTATGCTTATCTATTGCAGGAGTGCACCTAAAATTATAGAGACATCAGGAGTTCATTTTCAGGTGAGATGATTTAGAACAGTATTCCTAAACTATTTTGATATTCAAAACCAGTTTGCTGCCTTCCTAAGCTGTGTTAGGGATATCTCAAGGACTAGCGCTGGTCCATTGATCGGTTGTTGAGAAACACTTGTTTAGAGGATTTTAATTTTTTTTAGTTGTATAGAAATCTGAAAAACATTTCTAAATTTTCGTGTGGGAGAGAAGAGAAAAATGAACTAAACCATCATTGTCAGTGTGTAGTGGAATTCTCTGTAGTGAAAGGACACTAAAATAGGATATAAAATCTTGGTTTGCATTGCATGAAACCAATAAGTAACTATTGGAACTTCTTTAACAGACTATGTATGAGCACCTAGGGGAGTTGCTGACAGTCTTACTCACGCTGGATGAAATAGTTGACAATCATGCCACTCTGAAAGACCACTGGACTATGTACAAAAGGTATGGAAGTGGAGTCTTAAAATATTCCCACAGTGTAAGCATTAAACAGGTGGATAAATTATGGCCTAAGAAAATGAGTTTGGAAGTTTTTGTATTTGCTAATTCGAAATAATGCATCTAGACACAAACTATAGCGTTTTGCTATTTCGAAATAGCGCGTCCACACTGAGTGGACCCTGAACCAAAGTTAAGGCTGGCCGGAACCAGTACTGGCAGGGCATCAGGTTAGGACTTAGTTTGTGGGGCTCCTGCCAGAGGCTGAGCTCTGTGCTTAAGGGGACCCTACCCCCACCCCGGACAGACAGTTCTCTGGGTTCCCCGCTTGCTTGTCTACCTCGATGAGGGACAGCAAAGCAGTCCTGTCTTGGAGTGCTCTGAGTGCCCACACTCGGGACACCACAACACTCAGCCACATGGAGCCAGAGTTGCCACTGGGCACGCTGGTGCGTCTCGTGGGGTTGTTGCCATCAGCCTGGCTGCACTTGCTGCAAGCTGCCATCTGAGGTGTCCATCGGGGGGCTGTCAGGATCCAGGAGGCCCTGAGGGAGAGCGTCCACCCCGAGGAGTCCTCGGAGCCTCCCCAGTCCTCCCCACCGGGGGCTCATGCCCCATTCCTCCCTCACGTCCTTCTACTTACCCCTCCCTAGCCCTCCTTTGTGATGTCAAATAAAAGAAACATATGTTCAAAAATAGAAACTGGGTTTATTGAACAAAACTGGGGGGGAGGTGGGAGGGATGAACCTCTGGGGAGACTGGGAAAAGGAGGTGGAAGAGGGGAAGAGAGAGGGTGGGAGAGGGGAGGGGGAAACCTGGGGAGAGGGAGCTGGAAGGGTGAAGAAGGGGGGGAGGGGGAAGCTCAGGGCCCAGGGTTGGGGGGGGGCTCGCCAGACCAACTTGACTTTCATGCTAACCTGCTCCTGGGTTCACATGTGGCCTTTGGTGGCCAGGTTGGCAGCTATCCTGCAATAGACGGCCGCATTCCTCCGTCTAGTGGGGAGATCATGGACCTTGGGGGCATCGCTCCCAAACCTGAATAAGGTCCATGATCTCCACCCTGGACCAGGAAGGCGCCCACCTTCTCCAGCCCCTGTCCGGCTCCTGGGAGCTGGCAGACGGCTCCTGGGGAGCAGTGGAGGGGCTGACTGCCGGTGGCTTGCTGGTTCATGTTTTGGGGCCACTGTGTCAGGGGCCCCGGTGGCCACTGCTGGCTCTGGGCTGGCAGGCTTGGAGCTGGCACAGACACTGTGGCCAGGGTCTACCCCTTTAATAGCTCTGGTGCTGAGGGAGAGGAAAGTAAGTTTTCCAGGTTGTGCCCAGAGTGACCACCAGGGCTCCCTGGGAAGGGCTGGAGGCCCCCTATTTTGAATTAAGTGTCTACACAGCACTTAATTCGAAATAGCTATTTCGAATTTGGTGTTACTTCTCATAGAATGAGGTTTCCTGGTGTGGCATTTGTGGAGCAGCTGTGCACACATTCAGAGCAGACAGCATCGTCTTGCAGACTCAGTCTAGCTTGGTGGACCCAGAACCCCTTTTGCTGATGTCACAACCCCTTTTGGAGGCACAACTCACAATTTGGAACCTATGGGTTAGTGACTCTAGATTCTTAGGATGCATTGCAGTTGGGAGTATGCTTCCCAGTGCAGATAGGCAGATGTGCTAACATGATAGTTTTAACAGAGCTAACAGTAGCAGTGCAGCCAGGGTTAGCATGGGTGGCTGCTCGGACTAGTCATCCAAGTATATACTTAGGAGTCTGAGCATATTTGAACTCAGGTGGCTCGCCTCCGCTGCTGCAAAAGCTATCCCCTCCCACCCCACTACAATTTGTAGTTACATTAGCATGAGCAGAACGTGTTCATGTCTGCCTACCTGTGCTCCCTGCTGTAAGGTAGATATTTCCTTAGAATGGAGGACTCCTTGAAATAAATTTAAGATATTAGAAGACTTATCTGGTGTTGCCCAGGTCCTTCAGGGCAGGTGGCTGGTGGTGTGGAGTAGCAGGAGTCAGGACAGGGCTTTGGAGATGTGTGGGGCTCAGGATAGGAGACCACGGATGTAGGAGATGCAGGAGTCAGGGTGGGAGGCTGAGGAGAAGCTCAGGTCAGGGGGCTGGGAATATGAGTGGGAGGTAGGAATGTAAGCAACTAGTCGACTATCTGATAAGCATAAACTTACTGGATAGTTGACTAGTCCCTCGACTAGTCGTTCTCCCCACCCCCCCTCTCAGAGAGAGGCAGCGAGGGGGGAGGGAACTGTCTTAAAAGCTGGCTCCCCTCAGCACTGTCTCCATGGGGGGCAGGGGACTAGCGGGGACCTATTGGCAAATACACAATAGGGTTAGCTTCTGGGCCAGGAGCTAACCCTGCTGTGGCTCCCTCTGCTTATCAACTAATTGATGGAAATTCCATCGCCTAGTCGATTAGTTGATTAAACTATATTTAACATCACTGAGGGGGTGCAAGAGTGAGGGTTCGGGGTGAGAAGGAGCTCATGGTAGGAGATGAGGGGTTCAGGGCAGGGAATGTGGGTGCAGGAATCAGGGCAGGGAATTGGGAGAAGGGGGAGCTCAGAGGAGGAGGGCTCAGGGCAGGGGTGAGAGTGGCCACTGGCTTCCACCAGGGGACACATGGCGCAGTGAGGGCTTTCTTCCTTCCTCCTATCCTGGCATGGGAAAGGTGGAGACACATGGGGTTTTTCTCTCTCTCTCTCTCTCTCTCTCTTCCACCACCCCCCCCAGATCACCCCACCTGGTCCAGGGGGAATGGTGGTGGCTTTCTCCTCACCCCTTCCCCTCTCTGGAACTGCGACCAAGGGCAGGGGGAGGGATTTGGGGTAGGAGGCCATTTACCCAGTTCAGTGGCCAGCCATGTGGAGTTCAGTCTCCAGCTGGCCACTCTCTTGGTGATGCGGCTGCCTTCAGTGGTAACTCTGCAGTATAGCTGTCCTCCGTGCTTGCTGCTCCCAATGGTTGCTCTGCATATCACTCTCCTCCAATAAACCCCTTCCATTTCTGTTATGGAAAACGGTCCCATTCCAGGAAGATCCTGTTTTCCTGGCACAAACAAACCCTGACCTTGCTTTAAGTTAGGAGAAGAGGAAGCTCCATGCCAAATTTGGTGGCCCTAGCTCGTATCATTTAGGAGGAGTTCTTGAACAAATGGACTCACAGATGACAGATAGATGCACATTTCTAAATTTTATATTTACACACACACACACACACACACACACACACACACTGTTTTGTTTTGATTGGATTGTGTATGTTCTTTCTCAAGGCTACTAAAATCTGTCCATCACAACCCTTCTAAGTTTGGGATTGAGGAAGATAAACTGAAGCCATTTGAGAAGTTGCTGTTAAAACTGGAAGGCCAATTACTCGATGGCATGATATTCCAGGTAAATAAATGTAGATTAAAACACTTTGCATAGTACTGTGAGGAAGTTGTATCCTACTAAAATGGGGCTTATTTTCCTAAATGTTGTATATGATTTAACTTTAGATATGTTCCTAATAGTTGCAGTATTTCTAATTTTAAAGTATTTGTTAAAACATTAATTTTAACTGTAGGTTCTCATTATATGCCTTGATCATCATCATGCTTGTGCATATGACAAAACTAGAAGATTTACCCAGCATTACTCGGGTCCTTAACTCAAATACGTTTTTGTTTTTCTTCATTTACATCATTGTTCTGGGGTGGGGCTGGGGATGAGGGGTTTAGTACACAAGCTGTCCCTGGGAGAGAGGACAGTCTCAGCTCTCTCACCATAGCAGCTTGGGGCCAAGTGAGAAGCGCCTCTGCATAGCAGCTGCAGCAGGCACAGGTGAGGGAGGGATGCATGTCCCCTTGCTGGAGGACATATAGTCATACAGACACACAAACAAGCTCTCTGAAATACTCTAGTAGAAAACTGTGGCTAAAAGGCAATTGTGCTTTTTTTGTTCAGCCCAGAAATGTGCAAATTCATAGTATTTCTTGCCATGGGGGAAAAACTGACGTAGTTTAAATACATAGGCTGTCTACACACTGGCATGAATTTCCGGAACTGCTTAAAACGGAGTACTATTCCGTTTTCAGTTTTTCCGGAAAAGGAGCGTCTACATTGGCAGGCTGCTTTTCCGGAAAAGCCCTTTTTCCGGAAAAGTGTCTGTGGCCAATGTAGATGCGCTTTTCCGGAAAAGAGCCCCGATTGCCATTTTTGCGATCGGGGCTTTTTTTCCGGAAAAGACTACTGGGCTGTCTATACTGGCTCTTTTCCAGAACAGTGTTCCGGAATAAGGACTTATGCCCGAGCGGGAGCAGAATAGTTTTTCCGGAATAGCGGCTGATTTTGTACAGTAGAGCATCGTTGCTTTTCCGGAAATTCAAGGGCCAGTGTAGACAGCTCGCAGCTTATTCCGGAAAAGTGGCTGATTTTCCGGAATAAGTGGCCCAGTGTAGACACAGCCATATTGTTTATCAGCCTCTGGTAGCTGTCTGACTGAAAAGCAATTGCATTTGTGACACTGAAGTTTTAGGCATGTGTTGACAGAGCATAGGGCAAATTGTTTCTTGATCAAGCTAGTTGGATCTGAACAATAAATTATGAAGTCACAAAAGAGTGTCAGTCATGAAACCCAACCTGTACTTTTGTTGAAGTCACTGAGAATTTGTTCTGAGTAAAAAAAAAAAAATGCCATACTGTAATCACGTTTCAGACAAGAATTTCATTGATGTGGATGCAGTGGAAAAAATGAAGACCGGTGCATGCATAGAACAAAGTGGCAGGCTGCAACTTTTGTTAAACTTTAATACAAGTGAGAGGTGCCATGTGCCCATCACCCATGCTCTCCTACACCACCAGGCATTTAATTAGTTTCATGGCAGGAGTTACAGAGCTTCTTACCATGAAACTTGTAACTTGTGCCAGGGTTACCATGTAAACCATAATGCTGGGTAGGTACTCTTCGTCCTACCCTCCAGGATTCTGTTCTCCTTCCTCCAAGTGCAGCAGGATGGAGACCTTGACCCATGAAGACCACAAGGTCTCCACTTATCACATGAGCCTAATGCCCATCACCAAAATCCCAGGTCTGTTACCTCTGGGAACCATTCATTGTGCTATCTTAACTGTACTGGAAACCAGCTTCAAATTGTAACAAGTAAATAATACCACCCAGTACTGCAGTTAGGTACCATATGTGTTCCTGCTTAATTCCCTGCAGCTTGCAGGCGCTGCGAGGAAGGCATAAAACTGCTTGGTCCCCTCCATCAATTGGCTCATGGGAGGAAAAAGTCCCTTCCTTACCCCTTAAACAGGCAGTTGCTTTAGACCTGCAGCATTAATCAGGCTGAGTTCCCATTCCTTGTTTGGGTGGGTAGGGTGGACTGCTGGAGTGGAGCTGAAACAGGTCCCACATGGCCCTTGCACTGGGCTAAATCCTGAGAGCTGGGGAATGCTGACCAATCTCATCTCTCCTCTTCCTGGGCTGGCCAAAGAGTGCTGGAGACTCCCAGAGGAAGTGCTACCTATTGTCCCTTGGAGAGTGTCTCCCTTCTTTGCTGCTGGGTTTGTCCACCTTTCTCTACCAGCCCTATTAGTTTTCCCCCATCCATTGATGCAGGTGAGTGGCATGTGGAAATTATATCTGTAGCAAATTATGTAAGAAATCAATTGGATTCTACCGGCATGAATAGTCTTTTTCAAGCCAAAAATTCTATTTTATTATTTTACAACTTTAAGTCTTTGATATCTTGACTTAAAACAAAGCTCTCCACATATTTTTAAGTAAAATCTTTCTTACATCAAGCTATAAATGTGGAAATTGAAGGGGCTCATGTGGTGGGAATCAGTGTAGCTGCATTGTCAGTGGAACTATACTGAAATACACCAGCGGAGGATCTGGCACGTAATACTTAAAAATTATAAACTTTTTTTTTGTGTATTAATACAAGATAGAAATTTCAGGTAATGTTACACTTAGATCTTTTCTGATTGTTGTATCTTAATTAATGTTGGTCCCCTCCTCCTATGAATAATCTCCTAAATACCAGTTGTGAGTACGCTTTGTCAAACAGCTTAGTTTATTCATTGAGAAATGCTGCTTACTTTATGGAATTGGATTGCCAGCTGTCTAAGAAGAATTTTAATTCTGATGACACATTTACACAAATTTTGAGACAGATTCTCAATGGGAATTTGTCTGATATGCAAGAAAGATAGCTTTTTTTCCTCCTTGACCAGAACAAAGAAAGTGAAGAAAATATTAAAAGAAAATTTTAAATCTATTAAATATTTTCCAATATATCCATCAGCATACTTTTCCCGTTTCTTTATTAAGATAACCATATCGTGTGTGTCCTGTTGTTGAACGTATCAGCTCCTAAATTTTAAATCTATTAAATATTTTCCAATATATCCATCAGCATGGATGAGTTGAACGTAGGATGAGTCAGATCCTAAAAACCAATGAGACAATACCCTAGATCAGTGAAGTGTTTTTAGTAGTGTCTTTTTTTCTGGAAATGCATGTAGTCTCATAACTGAGTTGCCTAAGTGCCTTATATAAGCATACCTCAGCTCCTAAATTTTAAATCTATTAAATATTTTCCAATATATCCATCAGCATGGATGAGTTGAACGTAGGATGAGTCAGATCCTAAAAACCAATGAGACAATACCCTAGATCAGTGAAGTGTTTTTAGTAGTGTCTTTTTTTCTGGAAATGCATGTAGTCTCATAACTGAGTTGCCTAAGTGCCTTATATAAGCATACC